GCACGGAGCTGACCGAGAGCTACTTCCGCGCGCTGCCGCCGCAGACGGAGCTGGTGCTGCTGGGCCCCGGGCAGAGCTGGCGGGGATGTGAGTGCGGGGCCGGGCGGGGGTCCCCGGGGGCAGAGCTGGCGGGGATGTGAGTGCGGGGCCGGGCGGGGGTCCCCGGGGGCAGAGCTGGCGGGGATGTGAGTGCGGGGCCGGGGCCGCGGGCTCGGCTCAGCCGGTGCCGCCCCACCCGCCCCAGGTGCCAGCGACATCGAGCGGCTCCTGGCCGCGCTCTGCAGCCAGCGGGATGCTCTGGTGGAGGCCGCGAGGAAGCTGCTGACGGATGAGCGGGCTCCCCGCAGGCAGAAGCTGCTGGCGGATCTCATCCACAACCTAAGCGAAAACATCCTGGCCGAGGACAAGGAGGACGACAAGAAGTGGTTTGAAGGTGTGTCTGTGGCCACAGGGAGCTGCTGAGGGACCCCCGGGTCTTGCTCTGCTCAAAGTCACTTTTGTCAGTTTTACTGCTCTTAAAGAAGAATTGTTTAAAAGTTTGGGAGCGCTTCTGGCTGGTGGGATAAGGTACCTGGTCAGGGGACTAGTTATCCCTTCCAGTAGCATGTGTCTTTACGTTTCTTTAAAATATGTGCATATTTATTATCACAAAATGGTAAAGACAGTGTTTCCTATTGGTCTGTCCAAGATTTTTTCCCCATTACTCTAGATCTGCATTTATGATCTTTTAATGATTTGTTAGTAGTGTATCAGTAACTAGCACAGCTCAGTCAGCTAACCTTGCTTTATGTTATCTTTGCAAGGTCCCTCTCCATTCCCAAGTCATTGCTGCAGTTCTTCCCAAACAATTCTGTTCTCTTTTCACAATCTCTTAGTGTTCCACATATGCACGTTAACAGGAAATATTTAACAACCACAGTACCAGCCACTGCTCTCCCAGCAGATGCCGGTGTGGGGTCCCTTTCAGTGCTAAGGGCAGGGTAGTCCTGAACCAGTGAAATAAAAACAGGAAAGAAAAAAACCCTGTGCATCCCGAGCTAGTGAAAAGCCGGGATGGACGCCCAGCGGGGCAGGAGCTGTGCTGAGGTACAAAGCAATGTCGCTCCCTCCAGGGCTGGAGTCTCGGTTCAAGAACAAATCCAGCTACATGAGGCACAGCTGTGAGAGCAGAATGCGGGGCTACATGAGAGAGGTAAAAGTTTCCGTGGAAGTAACTTATTGTCAACAGTAATCCTGTGGCCACATGAATTTTTAAAAAGCACTTTTACAGTGCAACATTGTGATTGTAGAACAGAGCCTGAGGCTGCCACAGGAACCGAGGAGTGACTGTTGGGTTTCCCCCTCTAGGTTAGTGGTTTTATTTCAAACGTTCATCCTGCAGCAAGAGACGCCTACAGAGGGGTAATCGACCTGATGGCAGAGAAACTGAAATCTGTGAAGTATAACGGGTGCTACTTTGACAGAAGGGAGGAGGAGGAGGCAGCACGTCTGTGCACTGCGGAGGGGTGGTTCTCCTGTCAGGTATGTGCAGCCCTTCCCAAAGCAGAGTCATAGAATCATGGAATGGTTTGGGTTAGAGGGGACCTTAAAGATCATCTCATTCCACCCCTGGCCATGGGTGACAAGTGTGACACCTTTCACTGCAGCCCTCTGGTTTCACAGGGACCTTTTGACAGAGACGACTGCCCGTGCAAGCATTCCATCAACCCCTACAGCAACAGGGAGAGCAGGATCCTCTTCAGCACCTGGAATCTCGATCACGTGTATGTACAAAGTGTTAATCGTGACTTACCTGATTCATGCCCTTCTGCTCCATCAGGAATGGTTTAGCCTTAGTCTTTACCCCCCTGCTCTGCTACGAATATTTTGTGAGAAAAGGTGCTGGGATGCTGCAGCTGTGCTGAGAACAACACCCCGAAGACAGATGATCATCCTGTCTCTCATTCACTGCTTTGCTCCTGTGCAGATTTTCTTTGTATGGGAGCAAACCCCTCCTCACTGTGTTATCTCTGTGAATTCACTCTGGCAAAACCCCTCAGACCTATTTTAAACGTGCATGTGATGCAAACAGGATTTGCTAAACTAATTTCCTTGGGGGAAAAAAATCATAAACCTAGTTATGGAGAAAGAATTCCAATTCTGCCTGGCTCTGAAAGAAAGATGCAGGCTTGATTACTCTGAAAAAACTCCTGATGGCAATATTGTTTTCTCTTTTGTGTCCCCAAGAATTGAGAAGAAACGTGCTGTTGTCCCAGAACTGGCAGAAGCTGTCAAAACACGCGACGGAAGAGAAGTGAACTGGGAATATTTCTATCAGCTGCTGTTTACCCTGGATAATTTAAAACTCGTACATATTGCTTGCCATAAGAAAACCACTCATAACCTCAGCTGTGACAAAACCAAAATTTACAGAAAGAGGAAGCAAAACCACGAGATCTCCTAGTGCTGTCTCTGGAAGGGACCTGCTACTTTTTGCAATCACGTCAGTGCTGTTGTTTTTAAATAGCTCCAGTTTCTTAAACAAGAACTATTAAGAGTGCCTGGCACGGGACTGGCTGAGGAACACAACCACAGCTCACAAAGCACACGCTGGTGCTCCCTCGCCTTCCCACTCCCTGTGAGCCTCCCTCAGCTCACACTGTGCTAAGGGTGTTAAAATCCAGCTGTGAGGGTACAAAATGAGCCAGAGGCTGACACTGTTCCCACCCTACCATCTCTTTCTTGCCATGACGAGTGTCAGCACAAAACTTGCAGTACACAGAAAGGAAACCTGGACAAAACATTTCTCACAAACTAATTGTGGGGGGCTCGTACTTTCCTGTCTCTGTAAGCCAAACAAGGAGTGATTTAGGAGCATCGTTTTACTCTGTGCCTTTTGCAGGTAGGAGGGAGTGTATTCCAGGAATGGCAAAGGTGATTCAGCAGCAGAGCTGCCACCTCACCTGTGCCAACCTCCTGCCTTCATCCCTGACCACTCCTTTGCTGTTCCTTCAGATGTGCATCTCCCAGAAGGAAGAGCAAGGCCATGGCATAGCTTTGCTTTTCCCACCTTTGTTTGCCATCTCCCCATTGATTCCCTCTTCTTTTGAACATTTTCTGCCTTTTCAGCTTAAGTTTGCTTGAAGCACCACCAGCAGTGACATCTATAACAATCAAGTTTACAAAAATCATGTTTACCTGGTGCTGTAGAGAATATTGATGGGTTAAAATACTTCCTACCTCAGGCAATAAAACACAAATAGATGGATTTTTACTTGATTTTTTTTTTTTTTTAAATACCAGCTGATAGCAAGTGAACTTTTAGGGACTGTTGCTGTAAACAGTGTGAATTTTTTCAAATAAAAAAAATGACCCCTTATCTGTGTTTGTGAATATGTGGAGGTGCAGGAGTGGTTCATCAGGTATGATAGAGCATTACAGTCTGAGCACAGGGAGACACGTTTATGGAGCACCAGCTACCTCCTGCTCTGTAAATAACCCAGAAAAGCTCTGTCTCCCCCCATATTGATGCTCCTGCATGGAGCTCCTGCTCCACATGGAATTGTACAGAGATGGTATTTCTGCATGAGCCCTGACTTACTGGGTCTTGGAAGCTTTGCTGGAGAGAGTAGTGATTTACTTAACACACTCAATCCCCTCCCAAACATTTCAGCCTGAAAAGTAAGGAGGTGCATTTTAAATACGGGATTTCTAACTCCACTGCACAGAATTCATCCATCCAGCTTGCTTTCCTGCACTGTTTGACACTGGGGAGGGCAGCACAGCCAGGATCCTGGTGACAAACCCAGTGTCACCTGTGTGGTACACTGAAAATCCCCATTTTGCAGAGTGAAATGAATGTCTGTGTGTGAAACCCTGCTTGCTAGAAAGAGCCAGCAGCAAACACAGCACTGAAGAAAAGCTGCTGCAAGATGGAGCTGGGCTGGACCCATGAATATGCAATTAAAAATCTGGATTTTTCCATGCTACAGAATTAGAGTGAAAAGAAATATCGTTGACAGAAACAATGCATCAGCTGGAGTGGAAATGGGACTGCATTACCATGCCATGCATATACAATTTGTTTGCCTCACAACTTTTGAATGTTTAACAGGCTCTAGCTGTAGAAATTAATATTTATTTAAACCATCTGCTGATAACATTTTTCCTCTATTTTTAGAAACACAGAAGGAACTATAACAATAAATAACTGGAAGCTTATTGCATAATCACACTTTCAAAGAAATATTCCAACAAATACTGGGTGCATTAACAGTTCCTGGAATTAGCTGAGGTTGCTTCTTACTTTTCAAACATGCAGGGGGGGCTGCCCCACATCTTAGCAATCCATACTTGTTCCTCTGCCCATCAAATCCTCCTTTATATCCACCAAAGCATTTGTTTACAAAATCCCTGCTGAAAATCAGTCTAAAATCCTTAATGAGCTGCAGCACAGCTCAAGGAACAACTTTTACAGCAGCGGGTGGAGGGGGAGGCAGCAACACAGGGTGGGTGTGTGGGGAGCTGACGTGCAGTAAAAACGTGCTGAACTCCCAGAGATGAACACACTGAACTCACACTGACACCCTGCATTGCATTTTGGCAGCAGAACTGACTTGTAGAGGTTTAATTGGTCCTGGTTTAGATGTAAACAACCTACACAAGAGACCCTTGTCCCTCTGTACCAGGGAGTCAACTGGCTCCTTTACTACCTGGGTGCCAGAGACATCACAGAATTAAAAGAAGGTTGTTTTAGCATCTTTTCCTTGACTATTTCGAAAAAAAGGAGTGAAACCAAATATTCCCTCTAGATTGAGGCTCAAATTTATAAAAAAAACCCTTGAGAATTTCTATTTTCCCTGGGGTTTTTTTTCCTAAATATTAATGGTAAAGTGCTAAATTACAATCTCTTTCCAAATCACAGTCTTTGCCCCAGATAACTGTAGGAATACTGTATCTGCCAATTCCAGCAACACAAATTCTCCCATTTCTCTCCCTGAGAAAAGGCAAACACAGACACCTTATGTTACTGACAGAACCATTGCTATGTGGTTGCAAAGAAAAAGAAGAAAGGTTTCATTTTTTTACAGTTTGTTGTTAGACAACATCCTCTTCCTCCTCATCATCTTCCTTTGCAAAGAAATGGAGGTTCCTGACTTCTCTCCTGCTCATCGTTGTGCTTGGGAGTGCCACTGCTGGGAGATCCTGGAGGAAACAGATAAAATCATTAAGGAGAAGTCCAATGCAGGGGGGTGGAACTGGATGATATTTCAGGTCCCTGCCATTTTATGATTCTATTAAGAATCAAGGACCAGTAAAAAACTATTTTGACAACAGTGCTGCGTCACCATAACACAGCTGTGAAGGTCTTTATCAGAAAAAAATATCTCTTACGGAACTGGACTAAAAAATCTAAATAAGAAATATTTTACACCTAAAATTACTTTGGCTGGGCAAGTAATTTCATCTCTGATTGAGACAGTTCTATTGGGGGGACAGCGATATAACTCCAGATGTCCAACAATCTGGTCAAGTTTGCCAACAATTTTGAGGCAAATTTAAAGTGGAGCAGAGCCGAGTCTAAAGCACCAACACACTCATCACCTTACCGGCTCGAAATCCCCGAAGAAGCGGTGCACTGGCATGGGCTGGTTGCTGTCCTCATCCGAGAACCCGCTGTGCTCCAGCTGCATCGGCCTCCGGGGGCGATCGGTGTCCTCCGAGCCGGACTCCTCGGCCAGCACACTGCCACAGCTGCTCTCCTCCTCACCGAACACGGGCCGGGGCACATATCCACCACTGCCCAGCTTTAATGGGGTGCTGCTCGACCTCGCTGCGCGTGGCTCCAGAGAAACATCGTGCACCTCTGCCTGCTTCCCTTCGATAGTCTCTGGAATGCTTTCACCTTTTTCCTGTTGGATTATACTGGTGTCTCCTGGATCTTCTGAACCTCGATGCCCATCAGATGCTTTTGGCATTTCCCCCAGTGCAGCAAGGTTTCCACTTCCACATGTGAGTCCTTCCAGTTCTGATTTGGGACTGCTTTTTTCCCATTTCATCCTCTTCGAGGGTCGTTCATCAGCCGCTTTGTGTGACGAACACTATTAGGAAAAAAGACAAGATTCTAAACCTCTCTTGAAATAAAGAAAAATACAACCAGCTTATCTCTTTAGTTGCAAGGCTGGATGGGGAACTGAAGGGCTCCATCACACGAGCAGCACCTCGATCCAAATCTAAGAAAAGTAATGAGCAGAAAGTGCACATGAAGAGAGGAAAACAGGTGCAGGCAGCTCATATAAACCACAACATACAGTCCATCACCAGCAGAAAGCCACTTCTCAGAGCATAAACTTGCACCGTACGAGGTTAATGTCTTATTTTAATGTTCTTATCTTCTTAGGGATGCTGTTGATGGACGGACTGTCATCACCCAGCACGGCGAAGCACCACAGCACACCCGCTAACAGCCCGCTCTGCCTTTCTGCACAGGCTCAAACAACGAGCCGGGAAGGTGGCGAAGGCGAAGAATTTACTTAAATTCTCCTCGTGATGCTCAGCTTGTAGCAGTTAATAATAAGCTACAACCGCCACGCTGCGACTGCCCGGCCCCGGGGCCTTCCCCTCACCTCAACCCACCCGGCCCGTCCCTCCTACCGGGCTCGCCGTCTCGGTTTCTTCCCCCGCGGGCTGCGCAGGGTCTGCCGCCGGGGCCCCCTTCACCCCTCGCCCGGGCCGTCGCCGCCGCCGCCGGCGGGGCCGGGCCGGGCCAGCGGGGCCGGGGGGCTCCGAGCGCCGCCCGCCCCTCCCCGCGCCGCCCGCCGCCATCTTGGCAGCGCGCGGGGCCCGCGCTCGCCATCTTGTGGAGCCGCTCGGCTCGCGGGCCCCGCGCGGCGCCGGCACAGGGGCCTGGAACGGCGGGAGTGAAGTGAGCACAGAGCAACTGGGCACAGAGCACAGAATAGTGGGACAGGTTGGGCTGCAAGGGACCCTGAAGATCATCCAGTCCCACCCCCTGCCATGGGCAGGGACACCTTCCGCTAGCCCAGGTTGCTCCAAGGCACGTCCAGCCTGGCCTTGGACACTTCCAGGGATGTCTAGTCCAAACCTACTCTGTCAGTTTGAACCCATTCCCTTTGTCCTGTCACTCCAGGCTCTTGGGAATAGTCTTGCCCCATCTTTCCTGTAAATTCCTGTCAGGTTCTTCCTGAGTACCCACTACCCGAAATCTTCCTCACAGCTGCCGCCTGAGGAGAAACCCAACCCCATCCTGCCACAGAGTTCATAAACCTTAGAGATCTTTTGCTTCCCATCATATCTTCCTCCTGGAGCAGCACTCGCCCCCATCCAAGATGTGGTCAGAGGGTTATTATTCAGTTGTGCCTCTCTCTCGTTTCCACAGCCCTCAAGGGAACAAATTATGTCAGTAACTCAAATCCCCCTTTAACTTCAAGGACTCTGACGGTAGCAGATGAATTTCTGTGTAGCAAAGCGCTCAGATTTGAGTACGCAATTATCGTCGCCGATGTTGCCGGGCAGGAGCAGCGCTGCCGCGGGGAACGACGGCGGTGCCGCTGCCCTGACGGCTGTGTCCCCGCGATGGGGCCCGCGGGCTCCATCCATCACATTAAACACAGCTCCTTCTCCGGTTAATTCAGTGCTTTGGGGACGCTGTGGGGATTTTTATAATTCTGTCCATCTGAGGGCACAGGAGCTTGTTTCTTTATAGCAGCCATTAATGTTCTTGCTCATCGCAGAGCCATCCCACGAGTCTCAGTGGTACCTGTGCCCCTCCATCCAGCTTGGCTGATTAAATGCTTGTCAGTTCATCTTGGCCTTAAAAACCAGGAGCAACAATTTAAATTGCAGAAATAAGTGGCAAGAATGGGGATATTCAAGTAAGACGTATTTTCTCAAAAGCATAAAATCTCCCAGTTAAACCATGCAGGTTTGGAGATGCCTGCTTATTGTTGTGCAATTTCCCTCGGTGCTCAGGGCCCTTCTCTGCTTTGTTCTGTGGGTGAGATAATTCATATTCTTCTCCAAAAGCTTCTCGACTTGCTCCACTCTTGCAGTGCTGTTGCCTGCAGCCATGGAATACAGATGATTGTTTTTATTAGGCATAGAAAACTTATACTGTCTTGTAAACAGCAGCAGACTAAAACTGGCTGATGAACAGTATTTCTGCAGCTGGAAAACTTGGTGGTTGTTTTAATTTCCACAGCAAACTAAAAATAGTAAGGGAAATTCAATGTTGACAATTCTAATAAATACTTTTAACAGCACTGTACGTTTCTTGTTGTTTATGCTGCTTTAGAAAGCTGATATGTACGTCCAAGTGATGAGGAAGCAGCCCCGGGGCTTCTCTGACCCAGCACTGTCAAGGGCTCACGCAGGGTGAGATACAGGGCTACAGGCACCTGAGGCTCTGCAGGTGCTCGAAGGGACAAAGCACCTTACATGGAGCCAGGATGGCAGAGATCTCTCCAGAGCTCTTGTGTCACACTCACCCCATTCTCCCCTCTAACCGTGTTATTTTGGGGGTAGGTGGTGGCAATTTCACAGCTGCAGATGTTGCTGCATTTTCTGAAATCCAGCTGAGATAACAACTGTCACATAGCACAGAAAGCACCCTGGAGAGAGCGTGGATCCCTCTGAGATCTGTCCCCATCTCAGCAGCAGCAGTGTCTCCCGAGTGACTTGAAAGGCGATGTGGGGACTGCCAACAGCCCTCACAGGGAATCAGAGCAGCACAAACTATTTACATTAAACCCACATTTCCACATAAAAGGGGGCTTATTCTCAACAATATTAAAAAGTGGGTTTTATTAGAATCTGTTGTCTAAGCGGGCAGAAAAAAAAATAAGAAGGTTTTGTGAGCTCCATCATTCCTGTGAAAGCTGGCGGCTCCGCAGCAGCAGCTGATGAGCTTATGAAGCAGGAAGGGAGAGTCAGGCTGTGAAACTCAATGTGTAAATGAGCTTCTTGCAGCACTTGTCTCTGCGCCTGTCACTTGCACCAGTGTCCCTGTCTGTTATAATCCTCCCAGTTCATTTGGCTAAACACGAGTGACATGCCAGGGACAGCAGCTAAAAAAAATGTTGTCTGTAAACACACTGGCTGTTAACTGTTGAATGCGAGGTCTGTCAAACTGAACAGCTATCCATCAGGAGGGATGGCCTTTTCCTGCCACGAGAAAGGTGTTTTGGGTTAAAGTGGCTGAATTCTGCTGGGGAGAAAGCAGGAGGAGGATCTGCTTCCCAGTAACCAGCTTCCTTCCTCCCCATTGCCTCCTCAGCAGGGTAGGTTGGTCTCGTGCTCAAGATTTGAAGGCACAAATTTTTAGCTGCTGTTCCCTTCCATCACACGGTGTTGTCGTGCCAGCTCAGGTAATGTTGGTGAACATTGAGGATGGACAGGGCTCCGAGTAACCTGGTCTGTGGAAGGTGTCCGTGCAGGGGGTTGGAACTGGATGATGTTTAAGGTTCCTTCCAACTCATGATTCTATGAACTGCCAGCTTTGGTCTCCCAGAGGCACTGTCTCCTGGGAAATTTTCTGGGAGTTGATACCCCATCTAGAACTGAACATTCACAGGGGTCTGCAGCCCTCTGATGCAGCTGCCCAGAGCACCACTGCCCCAAGGACCTTTGCACCACTCACATGGAATAAACCCCTTATTTCCATCACAGAGGAGTGCTTATTCCAGGAGCTGGAAAGCCCTGACACAGAAATCACAGGGAATTTATGGTACATAATGAAACTTTATGCTTGTCGTGTGAAAAATCTCTTTGAGTCTTATTTTGGATTTCTTGCAAGTGTCTTACTAAGGACCAAATGTGGAAAGCCAGTATCTGAAGAAATTAATTAACACAACGGAGCTTTGTGAGAAAGAGCAGCAAAGAGGAAACTTGTGAAATTCATTAATGACAAACCTTAAAGGACATCTGAGAACAGGGAGCACAGAGAACCCAGCCCAGGCTGGGGGGCTGTAGTACCTGTCCACAGGGGGCTGTTTGGCACTGGTCTCCCTGTGATGGGGATGGCTGGAGGTGCCTGAGCCCTGCCTGGAGCCCTGCTGCTGGTGGTCAGGTCCCCCCACTATTGATGCAAGCAGACCTCTGTGCTTACCTGGCAGATCCTTCCCAAGGCAGCTCCAAACACTGCCCAGTGAATTCCGAGCCCCCTCTGCCGCAGGTCTCCTGCCCTCCCAAAAACCCCCATTGCTCCCAGTATATGGATTTTTAAAGTGTTTCACAACAAAAAATTTCCCCTTACGTTTGCTCCAGGAGACTGATAACATGGATTTAATGATTTACTGGCAATTTAGCCTTGCTGTTAAAAAGCACCAGCCCAGAGAAACCTTTTCGTGGCTCAGTTAAATGGTTGCAGTAACTGCAGCCGTGCGAACAGGCGCTCCCAACCCTCCGCTTCCCGCTTTATGACGTGGCTTTGCTCCAGGGTTTAATTAGGGTTTGATCGGGGTTTAATTCCCGGCCGGGGCAGCAGCCTGGGCTCGGCCGCCGCCCGACGCTGGGGGTCAGTGTGAGACCGGCGGTGGGACCGCGCCGGGCGGGGGCTCGGGGGGATGCGGGACACGGGGGGATGCGGGACACGGCGGGATGGGGAGCCCTGTGTGGGCACGGAGGGACAGGGAGTTCTGTCCTGTTCTCCTGGGAGAAGCTCAGCCCCCACCAAGCCTTTCTACCCTCCTTCCAGGGGCCCAGATCAGGGAATCACAGGATGGATTGGGACGGAAGGGGTGTTAAAGGTCATCTGATTCCAACCCCTTGCCATGGGCAGGGATACCTTCCGCTAGACCGGTGCTCCAAGCCCCGTCCAATTTTTGCCTGGTTGCTTTGCTGAGGACTCCAGGGACCTGGAACAGTTGTGTTCAGCAGCTCAGAGTGTGCTGCTCCCAGCCGGCACGAAGGAGAACAAACAGCTTCTCCGGGTTTCCTCCAGTCCCCCCGCCCTCCCTTCCCTGGCCACAGGTAGGTGAGCCTGGTCCTGGCATTGCCTCCCTGCCCAGCTCTCAGAGGGACAAGCTGGGAACACGGCGCTCAGCAAGGCTGAACTCCATCCAAAATCCAAGCCCCCAGGCTGCTCTCAGCATTCTTTGCTTGTAAAATAAAATAATAATAATAATAATAATAATAATAATAATAATAATGCCCCTCTGTCTTACATGCCAGTGAACATCAGGCTCACCCAGCCACAGCCTAATTTTCCACCAGTGACAGGTAACGTTTGGGTGGGTGTTGTACATTATTTAACAGCGTTTCTTTGGGGAGATAAAAATTCTTTGAGTGAATGCAATTGTCTTCCCTGCACACCTGATAAGGATGGAAGCGGCTGTTTTACACAAGGCTCATTAAAAATAAACCCACCATGTTGATTCCAGCAGCTTAAATTACTTAAGCCTGTGTAAAGGGATAAATATTTGATAGTGAAGTTTATTAAATTTCCACCACTATTATGTTACTGCTAAAAATATAAAGGATTCTTTAAAGCCTGCTTGGTGGTCTCCAAAGGGAGATGATTGGAAGCCCGACTCAAAACCTGCCTGCAGGGATTGCTTTAGGGATGAGAATGAACTATATCTCCTTCCCTCTGTCCTCTGCAGGTAACAGCGGATTCTTCCTGCTCCCATCACGATTAGTCAGACCCTGAAAATAGCCCGGGCCAGGCCTGGGGCTGTGGGAGAACACGCTGCTCCACTGGCAGGTTGTACCCACCGAGGGTGGTTCTGCTGCACAGCTGCTCCCAGGCACAGGATGGCCCTGAGGGGCAGGCGGGGGACATCCTGCAGGAGGGGGACTGCGGGGCG